TTGCCATGACAAAGGGTCTGAGGGACCTTTGGGATTTATTGATGTGTGTAAAATAATTGGAGGCCCAAATATCATTTTTAGAGCTGGTGGCAAAATGTAGATAACCCCCCAAAACTGTTCTTTGGATAAAGCAAATTTGTATTTCTTTGGGGACGGATGGATTAGGAGCTGAGTCTTGCGAAGCGTTCTCAGTGTCAAAATTAGAACTTGATATTTTGCCCCTAAAATAAATGAACCTTTTCAAGAGGCTGACTTTTAACCAACTGCTGCTTCTTCAAAATTCTTTATGGTCTTGAAGTCGGATGTGCAAAATCCTGTCAGGTGTCCCAGTGAATAGATGAAAAACTTCCTTTATTTTTATAGTAAGGCATCTCTTTTTGGCTTAAAAGTATGAGGCAGATGAAAAATGGAAATATTAGAAGCCTTTGTATGGAGAAGTGTCTAATGAGGCAGCTTTATCTGCAGCAATGAGGAGATTTGTCTGTGAAAGGAGGTTGAAAAAGCCTTAAATATGTCGTTAGTGCTAATCTGGGGTGTTTGATCTGGCCAAGGATCTTAATCTTCAGATATTTCACAAGCACTGAGACAGATTGATGCCTCAGTTTGTCTTGCCTTAACTTTGGCTGTTCTGCTGCTGCTGTGCTGATCCCCAAGTTCAATGAACCCATTGAAGCTGTGTTCCAGAAACTCAGCAGAAAATGGCTTTAAGTTCCTTCAGATTCTGAGTTAATCTTAGAGGAACTCCTTGGATTGTAACAAAACAAACGAGGGCTCTAAGAATCCTTTTCATTTTTGAAATTCAGTTTATCACAGTGGGGAGCGTGATGTCTGAGAGTTTATAGATTTGCTCTTGAGGTTGTCGTGTTTTTAATTGCATTTTGTGAAATGTTTTCTGTAATAGTGGGTGGGGGGAAGGTGAGGGAAGGAAATGGGGAGAGGTGAGGGAAAGAAATGAGGGAAAGGTGAGGGAAGGAAATGAGGGAAAGGTGAGGGAAGGAGATGGGGAAAGGTGAGGGAAGGAGATGGGGAAAGGTGAAGGAAGGAAATGAGGGAAAGGTGAGGGAAGGAGATGGGGAAAGGTGAGGGAAGGAGATTTTTAGCCTTTTCAGTGAGATTTAGGCAGAGGGAATGCCTTGTGTACTCGTTTGACAACAGCAGGGACTGTCAGAGTTATATTTAATGGCTTTTAAAGTCATTGTATCAGAGCCTGCTCCCCAAGTCTGAGGTATTTGCTCCATCCCAGAGAAAATGCACGTTCCCTGCAGCAAGGCACTGTGCAAACTCATCAGCTTTGCTATTTAGATTATTGCCTTCCGCCGTGAATCCTTTACAAGGAGCCGTGTACTATCAGCAGCCCTTGTTCTCTTCGTTAGCACTGTCAAAGCAGAGTGGATGGGCATAATTACCGAGGAGTTCTGGGCTGCTGAAGTGGATAATGAAAAGTGCCACTGACACAGTCTTTGCATGCCATTAAAAAAAATTAAGGTAATGATTCAACAGGCAGAGTTTCACCTGTGCTGTTGGTAGAGCTCTTCGTTCCGCGGTCCTCCCAAAAACGTGTCGTGCTGCCTTCACTGTTCCAACATCCCAGCAGAAATGCCCTGTGCTCTTTATTTACGGGTTTATCTCAGCAGCTGAAGGATGAGGATTCCCGTTGCTGTCGATTCTTGGGGGTTTTTGAAGTAAGAAGGTTGGTTTTGAAAGTTTTGTTGGGTTGTTTGGGTGCAGGGGGGTGTTATGGCACGAGGCTGGGTGGGTATGAAGCCCTTTGGATGCTCACACCTTGTGTGACTTTGGCTCAAGTTGTGTCATGAATCATGGAATTGTTGAGGGTGGAAAAGACCTTTAAGCTCATCAGGTTAAACCAGCACCACCACACTCGCCACCAAGCCCTGTCCTCAAGTGTCACATCCATGTTTGAACACTTCCAGGGGTGAGGACTCCACCACATCCCCTGACCGCCCTCTCCATGAGGAAATTCCTGCTGCTGCCCACCCTGAGCCTCCCCTGGCCCAGCCTGAGGCCGTTCCCTCTCCTCCTGTCCCTGTTCCCTGGGATAAGATCCCAAATCCCCCCAGCTGTCCCCTCCTGGCAGGGAGTTGTGCAGAGCCAGAAATTGCCCCTGAGCCTCCTTTTCTCCAGGCTGAGCCCCTTTCCCAGCTCCCTCAGCCTCTCCTGTTGCTCCAGCCCTTCCCCAGCTCCATTTCCATCCCTTGACACATCCCAGCCCCTCCACATCTTTCACAATCCTTAAACAATATCCTGGAGTTTACTGACTGTCACCTGCTGGTGCCCAGGGTGTTTTAAAGCCAATCCCATTCATCTCAGGCTAAAGGCCATTCCTCAGCCACTCCATAAAGCCCTTAACAGCCTGGCCCCGCTGCACTTCCCGGGAAGATGTGACACGCTGGATACCTGCTTGCAATTTCCCCCGTTAAGCCCCTTCATTTTCCCCCGGTTATTTCAGCATCCAGCTACTCCCTGCTTTATGCAGGAAAACCGTTTATTTTTTAATGGAGCTCAACATTTCCAGCTCAGGCAGCAGCCAGTGGATAACTTCCACTTGTGGAACATTAAAAATCATAAGGAGGAGATTTTGGAAGCGATTTGGTGCGGAGTTAATGACACCTCTGCTGTTGACTTCTGCGGGGATGGATGCAATAAAAAAATCACAAAGACCAGCAAGAAGACATCAAGGATTGCCTCAGGATTGCCTTTAGATAGTGAAAAACCTTCCCTCATATTCATCAGCTTAATTTACATCGAGAACTCAATTTATAGACTAGGTGAGACTTTTTTTTCCCTGTGCCTTTAAAAGCTCCCCAGAATTCTTCATTAAATCCTACAAGGAGGTTCAAAACACTTAAAAATGCATGATTAATTTCTCTGCTGTTCTGTAGGGCTTTTACTGAATTGTTCAGCCTTGACTAGGATGTCCTGGGAGAATTGTGACAGAATTACTCAGAAAATTTCATATTCAGGGAGATTTTATGCTGCAGATCTTCTTGCTCTGAAACACAGCTCTGAGAATGATGATAAGGAGGGGAAATTGTACAGGGAGGTTTGCTCTGCAAACATCTCTTCCCTGCTAATGTGAATTAATGCAGTTGGTAATAGTTGATGAAGATCCATTGCAATCTAGGAAAGCCTGAAAATGAGGAAGGGTGTGGATTAATAGGACCGAAATTTGGCAGTCCAGGATCCTTGTAAAAGATCCATCGATTCAGCTACTCCAGCTCAGCGCGGTTGAAGTCAGTCCCTTTCATAAACCGACGCAGTGGTGGTGTGAAAGAACACACTGGGGGTGTCAGAGCGAGCTGATATTTAATAAAATACCTTATTTTTGGCACTCTGTGAAGCTTCCCTGCACTGTTGCTCCCCAGTGTTTGCCTGGGGACTCCAGGCTGGCAGGAGGGCCTGGGGCTGAGCAGGGCTCTCCGCTCTGGAGGAGAAGGGATGAGCGGCTCCAGCGGGCACTGCCAGCAGGACGTGCCAAGCCCTGGCAGCCAGTTTGCTTTGGGAACAGGACGGTTTTCTCCCTCCCTAATGAGAAAGCCATACATAATATCATGCACGATGACAAGGGCCAAATCCACCCCTGCAGTCAGGGCTGATAAGATGAAAGGCTGCAGCAGGGAAGAGCTGTTGTACATGGAGTTCACGTCCGGAGCCAAGCGCAGCGTCTGTAAAAGATGATGTCTCGTTCATGCAAAGCAGTTTGAGGCTCTGCTATTGAATTTTCATATGGAAAAACACCCTGGTCAGGCTTGAATTCCCCAAGGAGACCTGGAACTCGGGGTTGGGATGGGGCAGCTGTTACAGGGGGGCAGAAAAACTGCAGAGAGGAAAGAATTCCGCTCGTGCCTCCCCTGGAGCTGGGGCCTGTCCCCTTCGTGTGTGACTCGTGCTGCAGAAATCGAGGCTTTGATAAACACCCCCAGGCCTTCAGCAGCACTGAGGGATTTATCAGCCTCCTGTGCCGCTCTGGCTGCAAATCCTGTGCTGGAACATCTGGAGCTGACACACCAGGCTCTGCTCAGCGCAGCTGCTTTAGTCCTTATCAGGGAATTCTGCACGAGTTGCACTCGAGCTCTTGTTGTAGCAAAAGTAACTTCTATCTGCGAGTGCGGATCGGGGTGTGAGGGTATTATCAGGACCAGAAAACATCTTTAACAGCCTCTCTCTGCAAAGTTTCCCATAAGCCTCTTTCTCTCAGCATGTGCAGGGAGTGAAATCCACAAGGAAGCTGGAGGCATTTTTCCTGCAGCTTCAAGTCTCGGGCCGTGCTTGGAGCATTTCAGAGTGAATTTCTTGGCCACTTGAAAGGCCCAGCCTGCTCCCACTGTTCCCTTTGTGCTCGGGAGAGGAACGGGAGCAGAAATAGGTTAGGGAGTAAATGAGAGTGGTGGTGGAGACGTGGAGCTGCCTTGATGTATTTGCTGCGGACGTTGAAAAGATGTTCCCTGTGTAAAACACGGTGCAGGACGAGCTGGGAGCACGGCGAGTGTGAGCTGCTCTGACATCTGCTTCAAACCATGATGTCAAAGCAGCTCCACCATGCCTGAAAGCTCCTGAAGTGGAAAGTTCCTGTTAGGTTTGGTGATTTGGAACAACACTCGCAGGGAGACAGGGATGGTACAAGCCCTCAAGGCTTTACCTGAACACGCCTGTGCTTTTCTTCTGCTTATTGAATTTTGGGGTTGTTTCTTGACAGCCTCAGCATCTGCAGTAATTGGCTTCCTCGGCTCAGATCAAACAGTTTAGAAAAAGGGCTCTTAAACAGAAGATATCTGCATAAAGCAGCGTGGAAAGCAGCAGCTGGCTTTAAAGAGCCTTTCTGTTCTTTGTGCTAAAAGTTTGTAGCGGATTGTGCACCCTGGTAAAGGAGCAGCTCGAATGCTCAGTGTGAGCTTTGCTCTGCAAACTTCATTTATTTGGGGTTTTGTTGGAGGGTTTCGCTGCACGAGGCTTTAGAAAAGGTTATCTTGGTTTCTGTACAGGAAATTCTGGCTTGGATTGGAACACTGGGCCCAAAGAGATGGCGACACGACTGAGAGCAGACCCAAATCTCCCGGATCTTTCCAGAGGGCTGGAGATCATCCTGTGCCACAGAGGGGCTGCAGGTGCTCGGTATCTCTGCAAACCAGGCTGCTGCGCTGGGATTTCCATCAAGTGCCAAATCTGCAAGGGATTTTTATTTTGGTTTTTTTGTGTGTGTGTGTGAACAACCTGTCCTTTGCTCGTGGCTCCTTGGCTCTGTCCCCTGGATCCTGGAGCGCTCCCGATAACTCGTGTTTTTCCCTTGCTCCAGTGGAGCAAACAGCTCAGTGGAGGCTCCAGGAGTGTCTTCTCCAAGTGCTGTAGCTCAGAGCGATGTCACTTGAATGGCTCTTAAAATTAGGTCTGTCTGGGAGAGAATCATTTAAATTCCACCGTTAAAACTCCTGGTGATTGAGAACAAACGAAACTGCTGTGGAGGCTTCAGGAACTCACTAATGGCTGGAAAGAAGAGGGTCAGGGTCTGGTTGGGAATCGTTTAAAACCCTTCCCTCCCCATTACTCACTCTTTAAGTGACACCTTGATAGTTGCACGAGAGTAGTTAAACATGAATTGTTAATACCACCAGCTTTTGTAGGGAAGGCTCTTTTTGCTCCCAAATGAAGCTGATTTATTTTTGTGCTGGTTCCCACCAGTTGTCGAAGCCATTAAATATCCTTAATTGCCTGGAAATGGATTCACATAATAGAGTCCTGGTAATTCAGAGATCTGGGAGCTGGGGCGTTGGTGTTTCAGTCAGGGCTCCCTCGGGAATGACGAGCCTGAAATCACCCAGTGCCTCTCGTTCCCTGGCTTTTGATGGATCAGCAGCAGAGGTTCTGCAGTCTGGCTGCCATCACCCTCAGAGGAGCAGCTGGAGAGCTCACCAGCTGTGTTTCTGTGTGTGCTGAAATAAAAAAAAACACCTTGGGACTTCCAGGATTCCGGGCAGAGCAGTTCCACAGCTGCTGGAAACCTGGAATTGTGGTGCTATCACAATTTGGGCTGAGACACCTCAGCAGGGGTGCCCGTGAGGGGGGCAGTGCACTGAAAATGTCAGCAGTGGGGATAAATTGTGATGTTCCAGGTGTGCTTTACATCTTTTTTAAGAGTTTTTAGTTTTCTGAGTCCATTGAAAAGCGATTCTGAGATTGCTCTACAAAGCTGATTTCCAAGTCTGCTTGCTCTGTGTCTTCTTACTGCCCCATTTACCCAGCTGTGGTGTAATATTGCTATTGTAATATTTGCTGCCTTCTTAAGCTTGATTTTTGTGTCCAAACTCCAGGATCTAGCCCTGCTGCCTCCAGCTCTGCGATTGGGAACTTGCAAAGGGAAACCACTTTGTGTTAATAAGCAGGAAACAAACCCAAATCTCTCAAAAGTTACCGTTTTCCTCGGAGAACAAACTCACAACGTGATGAGGTTTCTCTTCAAAGTGTACATTGTTCACTGATGGTCCCTGGAGTGTTTTGGGAGCTGCTTTGGAGCTGTAAAACCTCTGGATTCTCCCTAAGAGCAAATGCTGGAGGGCCCCTGAGCTGGCTGGGGGTGTTGGGGTGTGGGGCAGCCTCTCTGCAGAAAATCCCTTTTTTAAATTAACACTTCACCCACAAATCTTCCAACAGTGAGCTGCTCATAAAAATCAAAACAGAATTAAAATAACAACTCTTCATCAGCATCCTCCTCTCCCTTGCCATGACTTCAGCCCCTTTCCCACCTGGAGCAGCCCCAACCCCAAGGCCAGAGAGGAAGGAGCAGCATCTCTGCCGAGTTTCCAGCAGGATCAAAAGCAAGGATGCTGCTGGGATGAAGTGGAAAATCCTGTGCTGCTCCAGCCCCCTGCCCAGCTGGCAGCAGCTCCAGCCCTGCACAGGTAAAACCCTGCTGGCAGCGTTGGCATTCCAGGGCCTTTCTCCAGACTGGGCCCAACACTCTGACATTCCTTGGTTTGTGCTGAGTTCCAGGTTTGATTCCAGGTTTGATTCCGAAAATTCCATGTTTTAAAACAGCAGCGGCCCAGCGTGGATTCGTGTTGGGCCAACACTTCACCCGAAATATCCCTCGGAATGCTCAGTTCAGAACAATTAGACAGCAGGAACAGACCTGATAATTTATTTTTTCAGCCCTTGCAGTGGAGAGAAGCTGTTTGGGGTTATTTTAAGCTTTTGTCTGTGCACGGGGCGGCCCTGCTGAGCGTCTCTGATGCTGGAAACCCACAGAGCAGATTCTGGGGCTCAGGACACTTGGTCACCTTGGAAAGAAATGCCTTTCCCTTTGGGAGCTTGCAGTGTGCATCTATAGAATGACATTCTAATCTGAAAATAATTGGAAGGAGATACTCTTGACATTGGAAGTCGGGGAGAATAAAAAGGAGTTTGGGTTAATGTGACAGAGCACTTTTATTGCCTGCGAGCGGGTGGAAACAATAAAGAACTTCAGGGACTTTCATCTTGTTTGTCAAGTAATTTATCACAGTTGTTTTCAGAAATCTCAGAGATAATCAGCATCCGTGGCAAATGGAACTGGATTAAACATGAGCTGCTGGGTTGTTCTGTTCAGCTGGGTCTTGTAGCGCAACGTGTCAGGATTTTCCTGGGACATGACTGCAGAGAAATGTCACAAACACCGGAGAGGGGATGGGAAGATTGAATTCCCTCTGAGAATTCCAGGGACAACAGGTCTGCCTTGCCCTTCTGGGCAGCTGAACCCTGGAATGAGCTCCTGCCTGGGTGGGGAGTGAGGGTTGTTGTTGTCCAGCGTTTGTGGCTGGAGGTGATCCCAATTCTGGGGTTCTTGCAGAGCAATTCCTGCCTTTCCGCGGGGATTCCATGATTTGAGAGACCATTCCATTGTGTCAGAGATCTTCTGGCTCTCCTCAGCTCCGGGCACAGCCGGGGGGATTTGGGATCTGCTCCCAGGGAACAGGGACAGGAGGAGAGGGAACAGCCCCAGGCTGGGCCAGGGGAGCTCAGGGTGGACAGCAGCAGGAATTTCCCCATGGAAAGGGTTGGAAAGGGTTGTCCAGGGAGGTTTGGAGGGTCCATCCCTGGAGGAGTCCCAGGAAGGCCTGGAGGTGGCACTCTGGACTGAGGACAAGGTGGGGATCAGGCACAGCTCGGCCTCAATGATCCCAGAGGTCCTTCCCAACCTCAGAGATTCTGGGATTAAACACTGCTCAGGAAATTCCTGATTTTGCTTGAATTTTTTGCTTAGAATTTGTTGGAGCTTTTTGTTGGTTTGTTTTTTTTTTTTTCTGGAAATTGTTGCCTTTCTCACTAACCCAAGGAGGATTTGGGGAACTGCACTTTGAAGTTTTTGGAGCAAAACCTTCCATGGTTTGTCAGCAGGAGTCCCCATCCCTGGGGGATTTAACAGCCATGGGAATGTGGCACTCAGGGACACAGCTCGGGGTGGCCTTGGCAGTGCTGGGGGACATTTGGACTTTCCAGAGGTCTTCTCCAACACCAACAACTCCATGACCAAACAGGAATTTGGGATATGGACAACAGAGGTGCCACCCCCCACACTCCTTTTGTGTTTGTTTTTGTGTTTGTTTGGACAAACACTGTCCAAAGCAGCCGGGATGGCTTTAAAGCAGCACCTGAGGGACGGGCTGCTCTCCCTGGGCTGACTGTTGGGTTTGGGGGAAGCAGCCGTGCTTGGCCGGAGCTGGAGATCCGTCTCTGTTAGAGCTCAGCTCAGGGTGCCTTTGGCTCCTGCAGCAGCTGTATTTTATCACTTTAAAACGCTGGGTAATGCTGCATCAATAAATCCTGAATTAAGGAAATCTGCAAAGGAGCAACAGCCTTATCTTAATTAAGTAAAATCTATGGCTCCTGCCACAGCCCGGACCAGGAGCCAGTCAACCTTGGAACAGGAACTTTTTCCTGCTCTTTGATACTCCTTTTGGGGTCTTTTTTTAGTGTGGGATTTGGGTTTGGGGACAGAAAAGCACATGGCCTAGAAGTACAAGTGGCTGGGACAGAAGGGGAGAGATATAAAGGTACTTGATAAAGAGATTTTCATGTGGTCTCTCCACTTTTAGCCCCTTTGAAGGAGAAATTGTCCCTCAAGATCCAACCCTGTGCCTTCCATCCTCCTCCCAGACCAGGACTGGCAGCCTGAAACTAAAACAGATCAGCTCCTGGGCAGGGCTGTCAAGTTTCCCAAAGAATTTTGAGTGGCTTGGGTGAAATGGACCTGTTTTCCTACAGATTCTTTTTCCTTTGAGTCTTGGTTTTGTTTTCCTGACCCAAAAAATTCCCCAGCTGCCCGATACTGTGTGAGGCAGTAATGGATACCCTGGAAAGGAGGGATAAAAACCTCGAGTGCTCTGGCCTTTGCTGTGTCCCTGGGATCCCCAGACTGCTTCTAACATCTCTCCAAAGAGATGTGATTTCAGAGAGTTTATCCTTTGTTTTTCCCTTTTCCTGCTGTCTCTGTTGCGCTGCCGTGCATCCACAGCTGGGTTTCATTTGGAGAGGAGTGGGAATGGCTTCTTCTATCCATAGATAATCAGGAAATTCAGTTTTTTCCAGCTGAAGGGCAGTGAATAAACTCAAGCTATCCCTCACCATCCCCACACGGGATCAGAACTTTCCAGGGAGAGGCTGTGTAGCCCAGGAGCTCCGTGTTCCCTCACGCCTGGATTTGCAGCAGCTCCTTTGCCCAGCCCTGTTTTTCCGTAACTTCTCGATTTATTTGGGAAGGTTCAGCGAGCCTGGGCTGAGCTGGGGAGGTGACCACGCTGCTACATCATCTGCAGAGCTGGATTTCAGCGCTGACCACTTAAAGGCCGCTCAGATCCCGCGGATTCCTTCCTTGCTGGGAGGCAGCGGGAGCGTGGCAGCTGCCTCTTGTTCCACTTGGTGGGTTTAACTTCTTTGAGGTGAATTCCTGGCATTCTCCCAGGTTGGCTGCTGCCATGTCCCTGGACTCGCTCCAGGCTCTGTGGGTGGGGAGACTGAAAGCCAGCAGAAGCGCGGGGAGGTTCTGGTGGATTCGGAGTGGGGACAGGAGGAGACAGAGTGGGGACACACTCCTCTGTGCCTGTGAGGTGGGAGAAGCCCTTCCCTGCTCCCAGGTGTGCCTCACCTGCAGGAATGGTGGAAGAGGATCTCTTTGGTTCTCTTTCCAGCTTCCAAAAGATGGGATGTGTCACCACGGAGCTTCAGCTCCTCTGCTCCAGCTCCTCCCATGGGAATTGCTGCCCGGTGACACAGCAGAGGCACCAGGGAGCAGGAATGCTCTGATCTAGGGGAAGTTCTGGGGTCAGAGTGCTCACTGGAGAGAAGGTCCTTGAAAAAAGCTGGTGTGAATGGAAAGGGAGCCAGGGAATGCAGAACACGAGGAGTTTGAAGCCCCAAGCTGGTGGAAGGAAATGGATGAGAGACAAAAAATGCTTTACTTGAAATGTTGTTTTGAATGTTTACAAAAAATGTTGTAGTTGAATTTTTAAAAAACATTATTATTAGCAAAAATATTTTTGTTACATGTGTAATACTGAATTTTAGAGTTCTACAAGAGCAGATTGGCATCTCCTGACCAGAGCAGGGAGAAGGGTCTCCAGGAAAAGATGGGATCAGCTCCTATCATTATCCAGCTCCTTCTCACATCCACAGCAGCCAGTTCCCAGCAGAGCTCACACTGGGAGTCAGCTGATGCTGGCCAGAGCAGGATCAGGATGAGGCTCCCTGATTTTTACAAAATAATCGGGTTTGGTGCTGGAACAGTGCTCCTTCCTCCTCCTCCTCCTCCTCCTCCTCCTCCTCCCCACGACATTCAGCCTCGATTGCTGGTTGCTGCTTCCCGCAATGAGGAGGACAGAGGGTTCCACATTGTTTGGAGGCCACCACAGATAAGCTGTGATGAAAATTCTTTGTTACCGGTGATTTCCAGCTCGATTCTTTTCCTTTTAAATGTTTATTCAGTCAAGAAGAAAGGAACCGTGGGGCTTTTTCATTTTAATTTACAAACCTCACTGGCTCTCTGCTGTTGCCATTTAAAAGGGAGTTATGGCCAGAAAAATGATGCGATGAAAAATAAATGACCTGGGGAGCGCCATAAATTTCACCTGCTCCCTCCAAGACTCCCCGATCGAATTTGCTTTGCTCACAGACCCAAAAGATGCCTGTGCAGACTGCCAGGGCTGTGAAATCCATTGGAAACCGTTCTTCCAGGCTTCCTCTGGAGCTGTGCTGTGCCCGGGCTCCTGCGGGCAGGGCTGGCAGGGTTGCTGTGGCAGTGGGACATGAGCATTTCCATCCTCTCCATCCTTTTTCCGGCAGCAACAGCATCAGACACGTCTGAAAAGGGCACAGGAGGCTTCTCAAAAAGAGACTGAGTGGTACCTTTTGATGGATGTCGGCTTGAATAGCTGGAAGTGTTTTTGTCCTGCTTTTCCATCTTCATTGGGTTTCACTCCCAGCAGCCCAGGCTTAATTTTACCCAAAAAAAGGTGAATTGAAAGCTGCCCATGAGGCTGTCCCACAGGTTTTGTGTTCCTGAGAACAGAAACCGGTTCAGTTAAACAGAATCAGTGCCTTGCAAGCCCCAGTGGCTCCGAAAGTGCTCAAAGTGCTCAAAGTGAGCAGGAGCTGGGAATGCAGCTGGGACAGCCCAAAGCCTGGTGTGAGCGCTGAAACGGAGCTGGAATTGTCTGCTCCAGTCCTTCCCTTCTCCTGCCCAGCCCTAGCTCCACGAGGATGTGTCCCTGTGATTCCCTTTCCTGCTGTTTTACACAGGGTGGAGTTCCTGGCCGGAATCCTGCGGCCACTGCCCTGGTGACCACACTGGGGCAGCCGGACAGAGCCACCTGTCCACTTCTTCTGGGCCACGGAGGGACACAGAGCCCATGCAGGAGGTTTGTCCTCTTTTGGGGAGGATTTGACCTTTTTTATTTTTATTTTTTATTTTTTTAAATTTTTTTATTACTCAGACTTGGTTTTTCCAATGGCAGAGTTAAAGGGAAGAAGTGGTGAAGGAGAATTCATGGAGAGGCGTGGGGGGATGGAGCTGTGGGCAAAAATATCGATGACCTGAATCACCCTGGAGCCCTGGAGTAGTTTGGGTGGGAAAGGACCTTAAATCCCATCCAGTCCCACCCCCTACCATGGGCAGGGACAGTGGGAACTGTCCCAGGCTGCTCCAGCCTGGCCTTGGGCACTGCCAGGGATCCAGGGACAGCCTCAGCTCCTCTGGGAATTCCATTCCAGCCCCTCCCCACCCTCACAGCCAGGAATTCCTTCCCAGTATCCCATCCAGCCCTGCCCTCTGACAGTGGGAAGCCATTCCTTGTGTCCTGTCCCTCCATCCCATGTCCCCAGTGCCTCTCCAGCTCTTTAGGCCCTGGAATGTTCTGGAAGCTCTCCCTGGATCCTTCTCTTCTCCAGGGGAACACCCCCAGCCTGGCTCCAGAGGGGCTCCAGCCCTCAGAACACCTCTGTG